TATTTTGTTAGATATGGTTTTGTAACCCTAAATTGATTGTTGGGTAGAACAATTGAGTATCTGGGTTGGGTTAGGATTAGGGTTATGTTAGATCTGTTGGTTTTGATTTTGATCTAAATTTATTGAGCTTTTGAATTGATTATTATATTTATGTTTTTTATTTTTAGGGTTAATTTGAATCTTGTTATAGCCATCTTCAACATCTGGGCATGAGCTGCATTTTGTAAATTGTTAGTCCTTTGAACTTCAATCTTTATTTGTTATTTCAAGTTTATATGATCTGGGTTCGATTGCTTTGTAGCTTGACTTGAATTGAATATGCTTTTATGTTAGGGCAAATTGCATGAAAAAGTAACGTACTTTAACTTGATTCCTATTTTGGGTAACGTACTTTCAAAACTTTCATTTTGGTACCTATTGATAGAGCAAATTGCATGAAAAAGTAACGTACTTTAACTTGATTCCTATTTTGGGTAACGTACTTTCAAAACTTTCATTTTGGTACATAAGATGTAAAGTTGTAAACATTTAAGTACCCGGGTAACCAGGAAAGACTAATTTTAGACCAAAAAAAGACTAATTTTAGATTTTAAAAAATCCACGTCACTGACCACGTCAGCAAATAATACCGAGTTTGATACCACATCACTCGCCATATTAGCATGATAATCGGTTAATATTTCAACCAGTTACCCAGGTACTTAAATGTTTAAAACTTTACATCTTAGGTACCAAAATGAAAGTTTTGAAAGTACGTTACCTAAAATAGGAATCAAGTTAAAGTACGTTACTTTTTCATGCAATTTGCTCTATCAATAGGTACCAAAATGAAAGTTTTGAAAGTACGTTACTCAAAATAGGAATCAAGTTAAAGTACGTTACTTTTTCATGCAATTTGCCCTTTATGTTATTGTGATTACGATTGGTGTTTGTGTTCTTGGGACTAATGATTCATTAAGGTTTGAATAATTCTATTACTTTAACATGGCAAACAGAACACAATTTTAATGGGAACGAAGAAGATTTAGTGGGAAAATGTCAATGAACGAGAGTGCTGTTAGTTGAATTGTCTCGGGAGATATTAAGTCAATAAATAAATTCAAGAAATCGAATACAAATGGATTGTTGACTAGACGGTATGAGTTTCTTTATGTTTGTAGTCGTGTTTGTAAGGAGTCCGGCCGTGTCAGAGGGTGTTCAAATGTGAGATATGGAACAGGGCTTCAAATGTTTGGGGTACAATTTTATATATCTATATTTATACTACTTTATAAACCAAATTTGATCAGGTATTTTCATCAATTCTCTTTATGTAATCACTCATTATTAATAGTATGATTTTGAATTGGAATTGAGTTAGAAATGTAAATAAAGTAAGACTTTTAACTAGAATCATATAACTTGAGATTATGCATCTATTTATTTTTATACTTTTGCATTTTTGTCAAGTCTATTTATTCCTGTTTGCACTGTATCTTGGTTAATGTGCATCAATGAGCACTTTGTTTATGTTTGTCCAAATGCAATTCAGACCTGATGGAACGAAGAAAGCTTATGTTCGTTTAACTCCAGATTATGATGCTTTGGATGTTGCAAACAAGATTGGAATCATCTAAGCAAAGCAACAATTGTTTCAGTCAGGTGGGTGTTATCATTTTGACCCTATCATTAGTTTTGTTGTCTTGAATAGCATTCTGAATTTCTTTTTGTGTTTGTTTTGAGTTACAGATTCAAATATACTTCAATAGTTGGAGCTATTTTGTTTACCATGACTTTTGTTCTTAGTAACTCTTATATCGATGTGATCCTTCTCTTGTTTTGATTTTTGAATAAAGAAGGCGTTTCAAAACCTTTGATCTGTTTCTTGAATCGTCTTCTACCATTAGATTTTAATTAAGTTCAAAAAGAAGTTTGAATTACAATAATCTTGTAAGATCATATTTATGGTTTTATTCTTCATGTACTTCTTGTTAAAGCAAATACTCACACACCCATAGTTGGCAGGGCTTGATTGATGCACGAAATTGGGACATCTGCTATGGTCTCATTTTCAACATTGCTTTTTTATTCTTCTGTTGACAATGTGGCATAATATTAATATAAAAGTGAACCAAATAAGTGTAACTTGATCACATGTTTAGATTCTTTAATATCAAATATTTTTTCTTCATGATGATATCAGTTCCATCTCATTGGTCTACTTTTTTTTTACTTAATTATCTATATCTATACTGCTTTATAAACCAAATTTGAGAAAAATCTTAAAAACAACATTGAATGCATAAGGTACTACTTTTATGCACAAAGTCTTAAAAGTCTTGATCTATATCTATATTACCTTATAAATCAAATTTATCAAAAGTCTTGAAAACAGTTTTTAATGCACAAAGTACTGTACATTTATGCATGAAGTCTTAAAAGTCTTAAAAACAACTTATAATGCATTAAATACTACTACTTTATGTATTCAGTCTTAAAATATCTTAATACACAATTAAAATAACATATTGTACAAGTTACCAATGCACATTATTACCTTTTCTTTTCATGTTCCCAAGATATTTTTAAACAAATTTCACTCATGCCTTCACTCTTTCATACTTCTATGTCTACTCTTCATCCCCCAAGGTGAGATTCAAACTGATATTCACCATAAGTTATTAAAAGTTCTCTCATTCTTCTCTCATTCAATTGCTCTAGAACTCTTGGTCTCGCTCTCAATCTCTTGATTCTTTGCCCTTGGTGTAAATCGAACACATTTGTGGAGTCGTTTAAATATGTTGGATTTTAAATATATTGGATTTTAAACTATCATACAATTTTTTTCATGGATAGACTATAATTGGAACCATAACTCTTATTTATTCAAATTGTATTGATATGTAAAGACCAAGTGTAACTTATATCATCGTTAATTCTTCTCTAATAAAACCAGTGAAACTTCAAAATCGTTAAAATTCACGGCTCCCGCCGCATTGCGCAGGTACACAACTAGTTATATTATAAAGTATTTGACAAAAACTCTTAAAATCTATTTTTTGTACATAAGTATTGTTTATTGATGCATATTACTTAAAATTCAATATACAAGTAAATTGTGCCTAAATACAACTTATTAAAGCTTTATGTTTGAATTCGGGTAACTAACTGCAGATAAACATAATCAAATAGAAGATAAAGATCTCATTTTAAATATAAAATTTTTAAAATATAATTAAGATAATCATTAAGTTATAACAAAATACTTATTATTATTTTTATAAAAAATTATATTAATAAACCAAAAATAAAAAAAATGAACTAAAAAAATACACAAAAAAAGGAAAAAATTAAATAGTTAGTTTGGTATTAATATCAATATTTTTTAACCACAAGGGTAGTATCTGATTGGTTTAAGCTTGGGCTCCAAAGATAAAAAACGTTTGGAGGCCATATGTTCAAATCAAAAGAGGAATTAAAATCCACTTGTAGCCATGGAGGTTCAAATGCGGTGACTCCGGATTTCCCACAAAGCAAGTGGTCGCCCTGCGATTAGTCGGCTCACATAGCAGGTTGGATATCGAGGTTAATCAAAAATTATATATATATATATATATATATATATATTTCAACTTTTTATGATATTTTCATATTTATATTTCATTCAAAATAAAAACATTAACATTTTCTCAAAATCACATAAATCATATTATAACATTAACTGAGACAAAAAAAACATTAAAATAAACATATATCTCATTGTAGTATCCAAATACGAAATACACTTATAGTAATTATTAAACCATTCACACAGCTGGATGAAAGACAATTTGGTATAATAATATTGTATTTAATAGTAGTTGTGTGTAAAATGGACCACCAAATTGTTTTAAATGCATGGAATACTAAATTAATTGTTTTTAAAATTAAAAAAGTAAATAAATAAGAGAAAACATATGACATTGTCTTCTTAACTACTACTATCTATCAAGTGTGCTTTGGTGCATAGTCCAAATAGAAGTGGTTTCCTTCTATTACAAATACATCATTAATGAATATTTATTGATGTTTGATTGGTTTGAGTTTGCCTCTGAAGATCCAAAAGTGTCTGGAGGTCCTAAATTCAGATCTAAGGAGAAATAAAATTTATAAAAATTCCCTTGTGACCACGAAGATTCAAATGCGGTGACTTCGAGTTACCTACAAAACAGGTGGTCATGCTGTAATTAGTCAGCTCGCATAACGAGTTTGATATAAGTTAACAAAAAAATGAACTTTCTTCCAACCCAACCGTCTGATCCAGACAAACCGAAAAAGAACAATTATCCAATGCTTGTAAGCATATGTTCTTTTTGTTTTCATCTCCACGGTAACAAAAATACAATAACGTATAAGGAAAACAAAGTTTTTAAATGTCAACATAGAAAACACATCATAACCGCTCATTATCCGAATTCATCGATTTTACTAAGTCAGTTAGTCGTTGCAACCGTCTGATCTTTGAGCATAAGGATAACGGGTGCTTGGCGAAAACTATCGCCTCTCCTAGTCTCCTCGATGTTGGACTAGGAAACGACGAATGGGCAACTTCTTTGATCCCCAAATGTGAAACAACTACTGGAATGGCTGAAGTTCCACAACAAGATTTCTGGTTCAAATCTGTTATCGATAAAAGGGCATTATGGATTTTTTATATTATTTAGTCTTCTGTTCCAGTAATAGTTCCATAGTAGAAAACAAAGTATCATAGGTGAACCTAGAAATGTTTTTAATTAGTGACACAATTTAACTATAAAAAACGAACCAACAGATGTTTTTTTTACAAAATCATAACGCATCTGTTGAATAGTTCCACGTTTTTTGTATGTGAGGTCATGTGTTCGAATCTCTTATCCCAAAAAAATTCAGAAATATAATAAATATAAAAGTAAAAGCTCTACCAAGAGAAGCTTATGTAATTATTTCTTTCGAAGGATATTAGGTGGCACCCAATAAAATAATATGATATACCTTTCACGACCTTAAATTTTTTTACACTACGACGAAGGGACGAAACAGTGCTTCATGCCGCCACATGCACCATAATGAGTCTACCCCTGTGTGATATAGTCCAAAATATATCGTTAGTTGTTTACGGCATTTTATCGAACACTTGACAGACGATATATTTCTTGGAATTTATTTAATATTTCTCATCCCCATTCCAATTATTTTTCATTTTAGGACCCGAAGGACCTTCTTGCCCTAAAACCTCATTTGGAATCCCCCTTACAACTTTCTCAAATGCTTCTTTGAGTCTCTCTGGCAAAACCCTCTTCACTTTCTCTATCTCCTTTACAATTTCATAACTGATCTTCGGACCCCAATTATAATTGTAGTTCAACCATGGTGGCTCCGCCACAACCGTACTTAAATGGTCTGCCGCGACCACCGCCGCCCTCACTCCGGTGTCCATCACTGCCTTCCCTTTAGCCGTATCGTTTCGTATCCCGTTCCTGCCACTCCCTTGTATCACAAGTCCCGGTTTGGCGTAGAACGCGTGACTGTTTAAAGAAGCGTAGGCCACCGGTTTATTTCCGGTTCCGTACTCGAGCTCGGAAGCATCAACCAACATGCCCCGACTGTGTTCTGAAAAATAGACGCTTTTTAAACTACCGTCAAAATTACTAACTCGTAACGTCAAATGCTCCCAATCACCAACGTGTTCCCCGATTTTACCTAGTGAAACGTTGATAAATTCCAATTTTACCCTTGCCGGCCCGTTGAACGGGTAAAATACCCATACGGCTATGTCAGTAAATGTCGCGCCAAACATGGGCTTTACGTGGAAATAAGCATTAGCATTGTCTAAGTCACCTTTTTTGACTTGCTCTTTAGCTGAATTATCGATGGGCAGGTCTAGCCAATACGAGCCATCGTTTGAACCCCCTTGAGGAAGGTTTGAACCATCTGGTTCGACCGAGCTAGATCTAGTTTCTAGCCCTTTTTGATACAATAACGCACCATTTTTGAAATACCAATTAACCGAAGAAGGAAGATATTTTTCGTCAGGATGAAAATAAATTATTGGCGAATAAGCTTGAATCAAAGCCTCAATTTGGGACAAATTGGGCATAGCCGAAAGGGTATTTTTAGTATTTTTCAAACAATAAAGTAATGACATGTCAGCAGAACCACCACTGCCTTGGACTAGAAACGAACCGGTTGAAATACCCATGGCTCGAACACCCCTTTCTTTAGGCCTTGACCCATACACGTTCAAAGCGTTGGGGTCAATCTCATCTTTTAACCCCCAAATCCACCTATCGAATTCAATAACTTCGGTAAGATCAGATTGAACACATCGTATTCTTTCTACAGACGGCTTTTCGGGTGAGGTCGTGACGACATAGCCAATGGCTCTGTAGCCATCAGAAGCCACTGGGAGCCAAATGTAGCCGATGTCGTCTTGTTTGATCTTTTGAGATTCGCTACTCCAAACGAGGGTGTAATTGGTGGGCATGGCAAGCAATGAGGGGTCATTTGCATTGGGCTTAGCAGCTAGAACCCATCCGAATAGAGGCTTATTGTTACATTGGCTATAGTGACCAAGCATGAAGTAACCTTCGGGTATCGGAGATGGTTCATAGAACGTTGCACCGATGTTATTTGGTCCACCTTCGTGGGTCGCCCATATTTTGTTGAACGAAGACACCTGACACACTTGTAATCCTCCTATATCGATTGTCCCCGTTGCAAAACTTCCTCCTATCATATTTTCATAACTAAAATAATTACTCGTGTAATTTCTCACATATAGATTATAACAAAGTCAATGGGCAATCATCCATTTTACATGTTTAAACTAGAGATGCATAAGAAAGCCCAAAGTTCGATCCAAATCCAACCCAAGCCCGTCCATAAAAAAAATCCAGGCCTAGTGAGCCCAAAGCCCAATCCACACCAAGCCTCAAAACCCAATTAAGCTAAAATTCCAAAAAAGAGTCCGGCTTAGAAAAGCCTAAAAAAGCCCAATCGGGATCGTTTTCAGGCTTTAAAATGTTTGGATCTTTTTTTTCACTTATTAAAAAATGAGGCTTAGGGGTCGTTTATCCGGATAAGCGCTTACTAAGTAACATCACATCACCGCATGAATACGGTAAAGACCAAGAATCTTACCCGGTAAGAGCGAGACAAGGACCAGAAGTCTTACCCGATAAGTGAGGGCGACGACTTTTACCACGGTAAGCGCTTACCGGGTAAATTGTTGCATACGATGTCGTTTTTGTGGACTAAAATCTTACCTGGTAAGTAAATAATAGTGCTAAATTTTACCGGTAAGCACTTACCGTATAAGTGTTTGTAAACGGTCCCTTAGAAGAAAGACCCAGCCCCAAACTTGAAAAAGCTCGGACATTATGCATCTCTAGTTTAAATAGAACATAATTTTAATAGAAAAACGAGATTCAACTTTATAATTTAATAAAAAAAACCGTGTTTACCTTGAGAAAAATTGGGCGGTTTTAATGGAAATCTGAGCATGGTTTGTACTGGCAATGGCTTCTTTTTCCTGATGAAGATATTGAGAACCAAGTTTAATAATCGTAATACATTTCCCATCTTCTTCGGGGTTTTTTAAGACTTCGATTTTTCTTTGAACCCAACTCGTATTTATAGCAAAAAGGATTTAATCCAATTGCTTTTTAGGTTTTAAATATATAGATTTTAATATTAAAAAATGATGGAATAAAAGGAGTTAAAGGGGGAGGATGAAGTGAATGGCGTGTAAGGAATCCATGAAAATGGTTATACAACCGTCTAAGCCTTTCAACAAACTGGCCCCACTTCCATTTCCTTTTCTTTTTCATATCTTCTTTTGTAATTAGTTCGTGTATCCGTGCAATGCGACAAGAGCTGTGAATTGTAACGATTTTGAAGTTTCATTGGTTTTGTTAGAGAAGATTTAACGATGATATAAGTTACATTTTGTCTTTACATGTTAATACAATTTGAATGAATAAGAGTTACGGTTCTAATTACAGTCTATCGATGAAAATAAATGTATGACAGTTTAAAATCCAACATATTTAAACGACTCCACAAATGTATTCGATTTACACCAAGAACAAAAAATCAAGAGATCGAGAGCGAGACCGAGAGTTCTAGAACAATTGAATAGGAGATGAATGAGAGAACTTTTAATAACTTATGGTGAATATCAGTTTGAATCTCACCTTGTGGGATGATGAGAAGACATAGAAGTATGAGAGGATAAAGACATAAGTAAAAGTTGTCAAAAATATCTTGGAAACATGAAAAGAAAATGTAATGATGTGCATTGGTAAGTTGTACTATATGTTATTTTAATTGTAGATTAAAAGATTTTAAGACTGCATGCATAAAATAGTAGTACTTAATGCATTATAAGTTACTTTTAAGACTTTGTGCATAAATGTATAATACTTTGTCCATTGAAAGTTGTTTATAAGACTTTTGATAAATCTGCTTTATAAGGTAGTATAGATAACCAGCACATCAGTTAAATCTAAAATTAATAATCTTAAAATTCAAGATCGTCCTTTAGCATGTTAAATGTGATATTTTGAACAGTGCCTTCAAAATTTTGGGGCCCAAATTTACATGTGTTTAGGGTCTTTTTATCGACCTGTGTAAAATTATAGTCGAAATTATTTAGGTTCAAACCATTAATTGTTTGGTTTTAGCCTTTTAGGTTCAAATCATTATTAGGTTTAGTTTTAGATTGTTAATCGTTTTAGGTTTAGCCCATTTTTGTTCTTAACATATATTATTTGTTATCTCATTTATGCAATGTAATCAAAAGTTTTGAATGTAGCAGAGCCTTCAAAAAGATTGGAACGTCCCTGTTGAAATTCATTTAAAAAATAAATGAATGATATCTAACAGGTATTTAACTATTATATACAGGTATATCTGTGCCAACTTGAACAAATAAAGAAGTAAAGATGAATAACTTGACAAATTGCAATAAACTTGGAATCAGATTGTCGCCTACATGAGCAGTGTTCTTAAAACGTCATGTGTAGAATTTGAGAACGTCTTACTAAAGAATTCAACAATATATTTAAATTTTATATGAAACTTGAATCTAACAAATGGATGTATGCTTAAAGAAATGACTAACGAGAAACAACCCACAAAGTTTTGTGAATTGTGGATGATCTAGAATCAAGTTTGGCATTTATACCTTTTCTCCTCTTAACCGTCAAATCACAAGGGTGGTGTTTGGTTGGTTTGAGTTTGACTTCAAAAGTCAAAAGTATCTGTAGGTCTTAGGTTCAAATCCAAAGAGAAATAAAAATCTTTCTTGTGGCCACGGAGATTCAAATGCGGTGAGCCGGTGACTCTGGGCTATTTGCAAAGCAGGTGGTCGCCTTGGGATTAGTCGGCTCGCATAGCGAGTTGGATCTCCAGGTTAATAAAAAAAAACCAGTAAAAAATGGCCAAAAACGGAAGAAACGTAGAACAATTTTTTTCTTACTTATTTTTAATCTCATTAACTACTTCTTAATACATTTAATCAAATAGAATTTTGCTTATTTTTAAAGTCGATCCCTAGAATATTCAAAAGTTTATATTTAAACTTCCTATCTATACTATATTATAAAACATTTGACAAAAACTCTTAAAAATCAATTTTTGTGTATGAATTATTGTTTATTAATGCATATTACTTAAAATTTAAGATTACAAGTAAATTGTGCGTAATTACAACTTATTAAAGCTCTATTTTTTAATTCGTATAAATAACTGCAGATAAATACAATCAAATACAAGATAAACATCTCATTTTAAATATAGAAAATCTAAAATATAATTAGGATAATCATTGAGTTCTAATAAAATCATTATCTTTATAAAAATTATTTGTTAAGCCAAAAATAAATTATTTCGCTATTAGACCTAAATTAAATTATAATTAAAAAATACATCAAATAAATTGTAAAAAAAATAAGAACTTTTAAATAGTTAATTTGATATTAATATCGATATATTTTTTTCAAAATTTTACAATATCTTCAAATTTATTTTTATTTAAAAATAAAAAGTTATTTTTTCTTAAACCACATAAATCATATTATATCAACAAAGATAAAAAACAAAACAAAATATTAAAATAAATATATATCTTGCTACATTATATAAGTACTCTTTAAGTATTTAAATATGCATTCACAACTTCAATAAAACAGAAAAACTAATATTGAAATCGACCGTCGAAGCACTTGAAAAAGCCACCGTAATTAACGGCTCGCCGGCACTCACCAATTAACAATACACATTCCTTGTGCAAATTTGACTTATTTGCCCTTTTATATCTTTTATATACATAAAATATTTAATATTTTAATAAAAAAATTAAAAGAAAACGAGTTATGTGATGTTCGGCGGTTTAACAGAAACTGACATTTGTTTTAGCCTTTTCCAAATGAATCCATTTTAATGGTGAAAATTTCAATACCTTTTTGTTCCTTTTGTTTGATATTTGATTTGTCTGTTGTTATAAATTGTTTTTCAAAAATATATAAATATATATATAGAGAATAGTTACATTGTACGGGGAAGTTTTATTTTAGGTTATATGTAACGCCCCCAGAACCCCGTAGCAATGATATTGTCCRCTTTGACTAACCTGCCCGCTCAACCACAAAGCAGTAGCCGCACGGTTTTGTTTTTGGCAGCCGCACAACGCAAGCCCCAAAACGCGTCATGCTAGGCTAAGGTATCCACACCCTTATAAGGAGTGTTTAGTTCTCCTCACCAACCGATGTGGGACGGGTTGTTACACCCTCCCCCCGTTAGGACACAACGTCCTCGTTGGGCCACATCGATCCGGGTCTGGCTCTGATACCACTTAGTGAAAGATTTTTATAATTCAACGTCTAATAATGCTTAGAGAAATGGTTATTCTACCTAAAGTGATCAAAACCATCTACCCAATCCAATTTTCTTCATTAATGGGCTCAACCGAGTTCATCTCCTTCGACCAAAATATGATTCATCTAAAATAATTATTTTTATCTAGGCATTAAGACTTGAGGCATAAAACACAATATTAATATAAGTACAATGATTTTAACGGTAAAAGTGGACTCACAATGAAAAGGGTTAGGGGCTGTCAGAGATGTAAATTACAATGTAAGTTTGGTGTAACAACCCGTCCCACATCGGTTGGTGAGGAGAACTAAGCACTCCTTATAAGGGTGTGGATACCTCAACCTAGCATGACCGGTTTTGGGGCTTGCGTTGTGCGGCTGCCAGAAACAAAACCGTGCGACTACTGCTTTGTGGTATAGCGGGCAGGTTAGTCAAAGCGGACAATATCATTGCTACGGGGTTCTGGGGGAGTTACATTATAGTTTGTATATAAGGAAAAGTCAAAAAAAAACTCAATGGATTTTAATGTTTGGAATGATTAAGTACTTAGACAATTTTTTGAAACAAATAAGTTATTGGGAATTGATCCGGTGCATCTTATCCTAATATAAATTCAAGGATGAAGATCTTTTTTTATGCTTCTCATCTTAACTTTCATTTTCACAAGAACTCAACCCTTACGACTAATGATGCTAAGTATAGATGAAACATTAATTTAAATATTGTTATATATAAGGCTATCAGATACGTTTCGTAGAGAAACATCATTTTTATTTAGAACTAGGGAACCATCGGGAGGACCATATGTTTTTATATTCACAATGAATATACACTCAACTTCATCATGAATGTTGTAAAAACCTCACACCTATATTCATGATGATTATGCACATGTAGTATGCTCCTTGGTCATCCCCTGGTTTTCAATGAAAATGAGGTTCCTAAAGAAAACTCCCTCTATGACCAAATAAGATAAAAACAATGAAATATATTGCTTGGTTGTTATTTCGTTATCAACTATGAAGCATCTCTTATTTATAGTTTCAATTCGTTATTTTAATGAAATAATAACCTATAATTCGTAACTTCTAGAGTAAAAAAGAAGATAAAGTCAATAACTTTTTAAGCAATACATCGTTGGCGGCTAATGAAAGGTGAACTTTTAGCATTAATTGTTAAAAATCCCAACGCAGTCAGTTTATTAATCAGCTGTCACGAAACCAATTGTTCAACCCAATGACATACAGATTGGATTTGTATCGTCAAAACAGTCTCAGTTTATCTAATCCAATAACCGTTAAACCTTTATAGAATCTTTTTAAACTTATATTATAATTTTGACATCTGTCTACAAATTAAAACAGTTCCATTCTATAAACTGCATAAAACATCATTTATGTAAAAACCCGTCACAACTCATATCACAATTTCTTTACGGTAATCCAATGAAATAATTTATCGTCCAGAACTTAAAATAAAATATGTTTAAATTAGAATTAAAAATGTTTCTACAAAATCAAACAAAAAAATCCAAACGGAAGAAACCAAAAACAAGATAAGAAGTCGTCCTTTCGATGACTTGTTTATATCTTCAAAACCTATATAAACATTACTCTCTACGTTCTCCTATTAACCACACAATTTAGTTTCCAAAAAGAAAAATGAATATTTATTTATTTTTATTATTATTTAGTTTCCAGTATGTTCACTCAATTTCAGCCGTTGGATCTCCGATCAACATATGGCCCAAACCTAGAATCTTCACCTGGACCACCCCACAGGCGATCCCTTTCTCCCCGTCCTTCACCATATCTTCACCATCCCACCCCTACCTAACTTCCGCCGTTAACCGTTACCTCCGTCAAATCCAAGCCGCTCACTACAACCCTTTGGTCGTTCCGCCCATCAACGTCACCGTCTCCCTACCGTTACAAACCTTAACCATCACCGTATCGGATCTCGCAGCGACGCTCTCACATGGCGTCAAAGAATCCTATACGCTCACCGTCCCGTCCAACGACGCCTCCGCTATGCTCACGACAGCGACGCCTTGGGGAGCCATGAGAGGGCTAGAGAGCTTCTCGCAGCTGGTGTGGGGAAACCCTGCCGTAGTGGCGGCAGGATTGGTGATCTCGGACTGGCCTATGTTCGAGCATAGAGGGATTCTTCTGGATACTTCGAGGAATTACTATGGTGTTGAGGATCTGTTGAGGTTGATTGGGGGTATGAGTGCGAATAAACTGAATGTCTTCCATTGGCACATCACGGATTCGCATTCGTTTCCGTTGGCTTTAAAGTCGGAGCCGGAACTTGCCGGAAAAGGATCTTACGGGTCGAGCATGCAGTATTCGACGGAGGATGTAAAGCGGATCGTCCAAGTCGGGTTGGAACACGGAGTCCGAGTCATTCCGGAGATCGATATGCCAGGTAAGTCCTAGGAGGCTATATTGTTGGAAATTGTCAAGCATTGTCCCTGATTGTGTGTTAAGAGTCTGTAGAGTAATTTGGCTATGATATGGTGTTAAAATATGTGGAAATTGGGGAAAAGAAATGATACACTTTTAGCTGATTTAGAACTCAATCGTTTTGCAGGACATACGGGATCATGGGCTGAAGCTTATCCGGAGATTGTAGCTTGTGCCAACATGTTCTGGTGGCCGGCAGGGTCCCCATGGGAAGATCGGCTTGCAGCCGAACCAGGAACTGGTCACCTGAACCCGTTAATACCCAAGACGTACGACGTTGTCAAGAACATCGTCAAAGAAATGACAACCCTGTTCCCGGATTCATTTTTTCATGCCGGAGCCGATGAGATCATTCCAGGTTGTTGGAAGGCTGACGACACCATCCAAAAGTATCTTGCCAGTAACGGGACTCTCAGTCAGGTCCTCGAGATCTTCATCAACTCGACCAACCCTTACATTTTGTCGCTTAACCGAACCGTCGTCTATTGGGAGGATGTTATTCTCGATGCTGAAATCAAGGTGAATCCTTCGATTCTCCCTCCCGAGACCACCATCATGCAAACATGGAACGGTGGCCCGAACAACACAAAAAAACTGGTGTCAGCCGGTTACCGAACTATAGTGTCCTCCTCCGATTACTATTACTTGGATTGTGGACACGGGGATTTTGTCGGGAATAACAGTGCTTACGATCAACCACCGGGTTTCGAACAGGGAAAGGGCGGATCATGGTGTGGGCCGTTCAAGTCATGGCAATTGATATACAATTACGATATAACATACGGGYTAAAMGARACCGAGGCAAAGTTGGTCTTGGGTGGGGAGGTGGCTTTGTGGTCCGAGCAGGCAGACCCAACAGTTCTTGATTCACGGATTTGGCCTCGAGCCTCGTCTATGGCTGAGGTGTTGTGGTCCGGGAATCGGGATGAGACCGGGAAGAAGAGGTATGCGGAGGCCACAAATAGGTTGAACGAGTGGATTAACCGAATGGTTAGCCGAGGGGTGAAATCCGAACCAATCCAACCGCTATGGTGCATTCGAAATCCCGGCATGTGTGATACCCTTAACCCCGTCTGACATTTTTATATTCGAAAACATGTCGTTATGATTAAAAGATAAAAAAATTACGAGTGATTTTATTTTGTTACAAGACTATGTTCTTACGCATATCAAACAACATATTCGAATCAACTCAAAGAAATCGAACATGGATTTCCATTAACAAACGGAATCGAGCAATGTCGTTTTTGACATCTAAATGCAAGGGAAAACGATATAGGATCTAATCGTAGCATGAAGGAATTATCAAATTTCTCCCATTTGGCGAGCAGCTTTCACGCACGCCTGAATGCATTCATCTTTGCATTCTCGAGGAGTAAAAATGTTCATGTTCATGCATTCGAAAGCGCAATCCTTCATGCAGAACTCTGTAACCGCATCCGCCACCCCGGCCATGAGAAACACCAATACAGCAACGATCACCACCGCTGCCGTGTTGTTGCCAGCCATAGGGGATTTGTTCTCGACGGGGGTATGGGGTTTAATTTGTTGGGTTGTGATGGTTTCTAGAAATCTAAGTAGAATCTTTAAATTTGGAGAAATCTTTAAAACTCGATGGTAAGGAAAGAGAGATGATTTTAATTGTTTTCATCAATAAAATTGAATGTTTTATAATTTTTATAAAAATTCTTTTAAGAAATGAATATATAATATTTTAATAATATAATTAATGCTTAAATTGTTAAAAGTAGTTTTTGGAATTGAATGTAATTCTCTTATTTTAATTATAAATTTTTATTTATGAAAAAACAATAAATAAATGAATATATAAAATATTTTAATAATATAATTAATGCTTAAATTGTTTAAAGTAGTTTTTGGAATTAGATGTAATTCTCTTATTTTAATTATAAATTTCTATTTATGGAAAAATAATAGCATAGGGCTATGACTCCGAAGTCGTTTAACATTACTTTTTATTTTATATTATACTAGTTATGTACTCATGTAATACGACGAAATATAAAAATTCGAATAAATGTATGTAAAGTAAGAAATAGGATTTTACGCCTTTTCATTCCAAATTCAAGGATATGAAAGTAGAGATTGAGGGGTTGTTTGGTAGTTGTTGAAAGGTTTGGTGAAGAATGATTAAGTGGTCAGAATGATTAAGAGGCTCTCATGATATAGTGTAAAATGAAATATAATTGTTTTCTAATTGTTTATAATGAAATTATGGCGTTGAATGGTTAAGAGATGCAAGGATGCAAAATCATTGAGAGAATTTTAGAACTATTAAGAGACAAACTTTTTTTGCCAAACAAGATTCACCTCTTAACGATTCAAACAATATCTCTTAATGGAACTATTAAGAGGTAAACAAACAACCCCTCAGTATATGTTTATTTTAAGTAGAGTGTGAAAAAAGATATAGGAGCAAATAAGTGTTTGGATTATAAAAAACATATGTGCTTACATATATAAAAAAAAACATTTAGTTGATGTTTACCAAACACTTGTTTTGGGCAAGTGTTTACCGGTTACTTGTGTTACGGGTAAGAAATGCTTATTAACAATCTATTTTGATGGTGGTGAATCTTGTTAGTAAATGCTTACCTGATAAACATTTAGTAAACGGTTCCTTAGTAACATTTTGTGAGCTTGTTTAAGCGTTTTTCTGTAACGCTTTGTAAAATTTAACATGAATTTATTGAAACTAACCGTATCTCTCAAAACCGTTTGTATCATCTCTTCATCCTACAAAGTACAACAAATGAAGCCTAATATCCACCTAAAAAAGTATTTATGGAGAACAAAGTAGACTGAAAAAATGATTTGTGCTTGCACGATGTTAACCCACTTCCGCTTTCATGTTCTACACAACCTCTATGAAGTAGCTTTATGAATTAATGGAAATCCAAGTACGTTTTTAGAGGCCCCTGTTACATTCAAAACTTTTGATTATATTGCATAAATGAAATAAAAGAGAATATATGTTAAGAACAAAAATGGGCTAAACCTAAAACGATTAACAATATGAAACTAAACCTAAACCATTAATGATTTGAACCTAAAACTAAACAATTAATGGTTTGAACTTAAATAATTTCATTTATAGTTTTACACATGTCGATAAAAGACCTTGATCACATGTAAATTTGGGCTCCAAAATTTTGGGAGTCCTATTCAAAATCTCACATTTAACATGCTAAGGGACGCACTTTAGAAACTCCTAATGAAATCTAGTTGTATACAATATTCAAACTCATTTCCCTCAGCTATATGCTAGATCTTAAATCAATTATGGGTTAAAAAACATGGGGCAAATTGCATGAAAAAGTAACGTATTTTAACTTGATTCCTATTTTGGGTAACGTACTTTCAAAACTTTCATTTTGGTACCTAAGATGTAAAGTTTTAAACATTTAAGTACCCGGGTAACTGGTTGAAGTATTAACCGATTATCATGCTGATGTGGCGAGTGATGTGGTATCCAACTCGGTATTATTTGCTGACGTGGTCAGTGACGTGGATTTTTTTAAATCTAAAATTAGTCTTTTTTTTAGTCTAAAATTAGTCTTTTTTTAGTCTAAAATTAGTCTTTTTTTAGTCTAAAATTAGTCTTTACTGGTTTACTCAGGTACTTAAATGTTTGAAACTTTACATCTTAGATATCAAAATGGAAGTTTTAAAAATACGTTACCCAAAATAAGAATCAAGTTAAAATACGTTACTTTTTCATACAATTTATCCAAAAAACATGTATATTCAAAAAGCCATAGAAGATGAAATTTCAATAAACCAAAATGATCATTTAATGCTTCCAAATTGGTTGGTACTATACATTATACAATCATTTAATGCTTCTTGAACTTGCTTTTTAAAAGTCTTTGGTTAGTGTTAACCAGTGAATTGTTGTATGCATAGTGATTTTGATGGCTTAAAATCATTAAATAATATTATTGATTATCTTTTAAAATTAAAAATAATTTGTTTCAAAAATGCTTTTTATTTAATATAATTTAATTTGTCTTTTTTTTATTAGATTATAACCACCCCTTAAGTACAATTGTTGATAAAAAAAAATGAAATGTTTAGATCGATTAACAAAGTTAATACTATTTATTTGTTAACAAATGATTATATATATATATATATATATATATATATATATATATAAAAGAACTTCTATCTTAAGATTTTTTACACATGATTTTGTTATGTCTAAGTATAGTATTTAGTGTATTGATTAAAATATATTTGTTTCACAACATGTTTGTTTTATATGTATTCGGTTCATAACGTGAAACTTTTTTACGAGTACTTTTTGTTTCACAAACAAGCAAAAAATATTCACATTGTGAATTGAGTACATGTGAAACAAACACACTGTGAATTGAGAACATATTGAAACAAACACAATGTGAAACAAATATATGTTAATCAATATTGAAAATCCTAGTCTTAGATGAAAAAAAAAATCATATAAAATAAAACATGATACACAAGTTATCAAGGTTATCATAATTTTAGGGGTCATAAAAAGAAGGTTCCCTTATATATATAGGGGCTTAATCAAATGAGAACTATTTAGTTTGTGGTAACCGTGAGATCCAATATTAACTAATTATTTAATATTATATGTTAAATAATCATAAATGCTAATTTAGTAAAAAAATTACAATTTATGTTTATATCTTTCTATATACCAGGCTCATCAAATCTTTCCATATCTCTCACCACTAATCAAAAAAAAAAAAAGATTCTCTCTTTCCATCTCCCTCAATTTTACCGGCAGCCATTTAAAGGAGTCGTCAAAAAAAGATCGGTAACCGGCTGGGAAGGAGGAGATAAGGTGATGGAGACGTGAGTGGTTGATCGGTAACCGGCCATCATGATGGGAAGATTCGCGTTTGGAAATGAAAGACTAAGGACCCAAGAATTCATAAATGCATCAAAATCAAACACCAACGTGAACTACATTATCGGAGCAGATAATGACGATGATATAGATAGAGCTGGTTTCTAAACCCCTGCCCCTCTGGTTTCAAATATGAGTTTTTCTTGGTTTCCATATCCATATTTTAAGGACATTTTTTGGTTTGAATCCTATGTTTGAGACTATTTTTTTCTTTCTTTCTTTTCTTCAAACCTTGATGTGGGTATCATAGTGATTATGTTTGATATAAAAACCATATCAAATTTGGTCTCAATCCATATTCAAGACGGTAGCACAGTGATATCACAATGGCTATCACATTAGTATCACAATGAATTTGTGTATTAAAGTTCTTGGGTATCACAACGACTTCAGTGGTATCATAGTGGGTATCACATTGTGTTTATGTCTTACTGTTAGAAGTTCTTAGGTATCATGGTGTCTATCACACTAAAGGTCGTTTGTATGTATATTTTCTTTAACAATTTCAATGTTTTTAAGTATCACATTGTGTATCATGGTCTCACTGAAGGTCGGAGGTTTCTGATCGAATGTCGGAAGAGGGGAGAGGAGAGATGAGAGTTTTAAAATAACCAAAATGTCCTTTAATTAAAATTTTAATTCAAAATTACCATAATTATCAATTTTTTAATTTATCCATAGATTTGTGGTTGAAACTGGATCTCACGGTTATAATAAACTAATTAGTTCTCCTTCAAATGCTCCCTCATATATATATAGGGGCCTATTCAAGGGAGAACTGAGTTGTTTGTGGTAACTGTGAGAACCAATCTCAACCAATCATTTTAATATATTAATTATACAATTAAAATCAAATTAAAAGGGTATGTTAGTCAATTCTTAATTTAAAATTAAATTTTAATTTTTAAAATGCAACCGTTTCAAATAAAATAATTAAT